CCGGGGCTGTGCCATGGCTAGCCCCTGGGGTGGTGCCCAGACTCACCGGGCATGCGAAGAGGGCTGCAGTGCCAGAGGCTGCCCGTCCTTCAGCCAGGTGATCTGGGGGGTGGGCTGCCCCTCCGCCCGGCACTCCAGCCTCACCCCCCTGCCTTCCAGCACACTGTGCTCGCTGGGGACCCCCGCGCTGGCTATCCGGGGTGCCACTGTACCCAGAAGAGAAGGAGGCTGAGGAAGAGGAGGGAGAGCCTGCAGGGACCCCCGTCACCCTGGGGAAGCCCTACCTCGCACCAGCACCACGAAGTCCTTGCGTGTCGTGGTGCCTGGGCCCCGCACCAGGCAGGTGTACCGGCCCTGGTGGAAGGGCTGCAAGGGGCTGAGCTGGAGCTGCTCCCCCCCAGACACCAGGCCCTGCTCTGGGCTGCTCTCTGCAATGAGACGGGGCCAAGGGGGATGCAGCGGTGCTCCTCCACCCAGTCGTCCCCAGGCACATTGTCATGCTCCCTCCTTCCCACCCCCAGGACCCAGGTTTGGGGATTTGGTTAAAGTAGAGGTCAGGGCTGTGCAGAGCAGGGTGTTGGCACTGTGCATCGCTGGAGCTTTGCAGGAGAGAAAAGCCACTGGTCTGGGGGTAAATCCCCGTCCCAGCAGGTAGCCCAAGGGCTGGTACCCAGAGAGCTCACCCCCAGAGCTCTCCATCACATCCCATGCCCACCTCCCATCGTTTCAGCCTCTTAAAAAACATGCAGGGAAAATGCCAGCCCCCTCCTGCTCTGCCTCCTTCCCTGTGAGGCCCTGCAGGTCTCCTGCAGCTGGATTAGAAACGGGGAAACTGCTTGAGGTGTGGCAGTTGGGAGGCTCGGGGCCGCAGCCCAGCATGGCGTCCCCCTGTGCATGTACCCAGCGGGCTCCCGTCCTTCAGCCAGGTGACGGCAGGCGCGGGCACACCAGTCACTTGGCAGGTCAGGACGAGGGGGGTCCCCACGTCAGCATCCAGCGTCTCCTGCTGCAGGTCCTCGATGCCTGGGGAGGAAGAGCAGGAACGGGGTGTGTGAGCAGGAACACACGCACCAGGGTTTGCCATCAGCTCCTCGGAAGCTTACCGTGGACGGCGAGGCTGAAACGTTTCTCGTCCCGGCCGGCCGCGTTCAGCGCCACGCACGTGTATGTGCCCGAGCTGGAAAGCTGCAGGCGAGGGAGCTGCAGC